ATAAAAAAGTAACTAGTTTTACAAAATTATTTGAATTTAAAAATATTAATTTGTTATGTCTGGTAATGATAGTTTGAGTTTTAAAATATAATTGAAGTTCCTTGACAATAATCATCCGAACATTTATTATCTAACTAGAAAAATTGGAAGGATTGAAATTTTTAACTTGATGGATATAAGATTGGTGTCTTTTATGCTTAAAAAGACATTTATATTGAAACAAGTAAAATTCTAAAATAAATAAATAAATAAATAAATCTTTTCATTCTTTAAAAAGCATATACTAAAAAAATCCACCCAGCCCCCTTCTTCAAGTGGAGGTTAGCCAAGTCTAATAATTTTTTCTAGTTATAAAAAATTAAAAATAAAATATTAGGAGATATAAAACTAAATGACAACACACTTTAAAAATTATTAAAATCATGCATATTGAATAATATAATTTTTTAAAAAAATTAAAACGATGATATATTGAATCAATCAAAATCTATAACCTAAATCATGTGACCTTGATTACTTTATAAAATATAAATCAAAATAAATTAAAAAACTCAATTCTAATAAATCAAATATTGAAGAACAAAAAAAAAATTAATTTTAAAAAGAACAAAAAACACTCGGATAAACCTATATAAATAGCCCAAATCCACAATCCAAACCATGAAAATAGGATTACCCTATAGAAGAAAAGAAATACAAAGGTTAGTTCCTAAGCCATTACTAAAGTACAAAAATAAAAATAAAAATTAATTTAAAAAAAAAACAAAAAAATCAATAAAAAAACTTTTGTTTTAGGCAATGCTCTACAAAATACTAAGTACACTTCACATCAAATTCAAAATAAAAATTTACATGTCTTTTTTAAAAATGTTCAGTTTTTAATTCGTCAAAGGATTGATGATGAAAAAATTATTTAATTATTAATGAAGTTAGAGATGAATCTAGAAGTAAATCTTTCCATGATTTAAAAAGTATATACTAAAAAAATTCCACCCAGCCCCTTCTTCAATTGGAGATTCACGACCATGAGATTTGAAACTAGCTCCTCAACCCGAGCCAAGTCTAATATTTTTTTCTAGTTATAAAAAATTAAAAATAAAATGTTAGGAAATATAAAACTAAATGCATACCAAACAACACACTTTAAAATTATTAAAATCATACATATTGAATGATATAATTTTTTTTTAAAAATTAAGATGATAACATATTGAATCGATCAAGAGGATTAATTCAGAAAATCTATGATCTAAATCATGTAACCTTGATAACCTTATAAAATACAAATCAAAATAAATTAAAAAGTTTAATTCTAATAAATCAAATATTGAAGAACAAAAAAGAAAAGAAAATAATTAATTTTAAAAAGAACAAAAAAAACTGAAGTAAACCTATATAAATAGCCCAAATCCACAATCCAAGTATTCAAAATAGAATTGCCCTGTAGAAGAAAAGAAATAAAAAAGTTAGTTCCTAACCAAGTCATTACCAAAGTATAAAAAAAAAATTAATTTAAAAAAAAAACAAAAAAACTCAATAAAAAAACTCTTGTTTTGGATAATGCTTTACAAAATACTAAGTACACTTCATATCAAATTCAAAATAAAAATTTGCATGTCTTCTCTAGAAATATTTAGTCTTTAATTAGCCGTATGATTAGTGATGAAAAAATTTGTTTAATTGTTAATGAAGTTAGAGATGAATCCAAAAGAAAGCAAATAACCCTTGTTATTAAATTTGTTGATAAAAATAAATTTATACAAAAATATTTTTTAGATATAGTGCATGTTAAAAACATAATTGCTTTAACTCCTAAGGAAGAGATTTCATCTGTTTTATCTCATCATAATCTTAATATTCAAGATATTATACGTCAAGTGTATGATAGTGCTAGTAATATGCATGAACAGTAAAATGGTTTGCGATCTTTATTCATTAAAGGTTGTCCTTCATATATATTATGTATATTGTTTTAACCCATCAATTGCAACTAGTTCTTATTTTTGTAGCTAGAGAATTATCTTATAGTTATATTTTCTTTTAAAATTTGATTTTATTGTCAACATTGTTAGTGCCTTTTACAAGTGCGATGATAAATTACATGTTTTTCAAGCAGCTAAAATTAAGCATTTAATTGTTTTTGGTAAAATTAAAATGTATAAAGAAGTTAATCAAGTAGGTGGTTTGCAACTATCTTTATATACTAAATGGAGTTTACATTTTAAATTAATTTGTTGTCTGATAAAAATATATAGGGCAATATGCTTGATTCTTAATAAGATTGCTTCAGATGAATTTACTTATTATTAATATGATGCTATAGCTTTTGTAGTTAGGTTTTTAATGTCATTTGATTTTGTATTTATTTTTCATGTAATGAAAAATGTTATGAGAATTACTGATATACTTTATTAAGTCTCGTAACAAAAATCTCAAAACAATTTAAATGTTATGCATTTGGTGTCTACTATAAAAACTTTAATTCAAAAGTTAAGAGATGATAATTAAGAAACTCTTTTAGAAAAAGTGACATCTTTTACAAGTATCAAGACATTTAAATTCATAATATAAATGCTTCTATTTTTAGAGTGGGAAGATCTCAATGTAAATAAACAGTAATGGTTGAGTATTATTATCATGTTGATATATTTACAGTTATCATTGATCAACAATTATAAGAGCTAAATTATAGATTCACTGAGTAAAGGATCAATCTTTTTGTGTTGAATGCAACTTTGAATCCTAAAAATGGCTATAAATCATTTAGTATTGAAGATATATACAGATTTGTTAATAAGTTTTATTTTGAAGATTTTTCTAACTAGAAAAAATTCCAGTTGGGATTCCAGTTACACTATCATGAGCTTTTCATACCTCATCATCCAGAGTCATAGATTGTAGATTTATGTGGATAATTGGTAGAAAATTGAGAAATAAAAAATTTATCCAGTAATTGATAAATTGATTCAATTTATTTTGACTCCTTTTATTTTAACAACACTTACCAAACGAGATATTTTAAGAATAAAGATGGTTAAAACAAGACTTTGTAAAAGAATAAAAAATGATTTTTTTACAAATTTTTAATTGTTTATAAAGCAAAAGAGATTAGTGAAAGATTCTCAATAGATATTATAATCAATTATTTATATTCTATGAAAAAACGACAAGTACAATTAAAATAAATATATATTAATTTTTTATTAATTTTTTATTGTTATTTTATTTTAATTCAAAAAAATTTCATGTTTTTTTTTATAAATTTTATATATTTATATTTGATAGATAAATGCATTATAAAAATCATTGTATATTTAAAGTAAGTTTTTACCGTACTTTTCTTATTTGTAATAAACTTTGTATCATTCTATATTTTTCTTTGCACAAAACTCCTTGAGCTGAACGGAGAACAGACCACTCATGACGGACACGGTGGTTCTTGTGGCCATTTTCAAACCAACAAGACCGGTGGTGGCTGTCCTCTAACAGGATCTTCCAAGGCTGTACATAAACCATTTTGCAGGGTATACGGGCTTATTTCTCCTGTCGTGACACCTGGTATTGTTTCTACTTTCTATCTTCCTCATGACTTAACATTTATGAGTATTTTATTATAGACGCATGATCGGCAGATGGGTATGGTTAACCTCCTTTGACTCGCTCCATTCTCGCAGACGTCCGGTCTTTCATTTAGGTGAGTCTTCCTGTGGTAAAGTATCCGGAGGGTTATCTAAGTTAATGTGTTTTCGTCCACCTTTTCATGTCTTATTTTTTTAGTTTAATATAGGTATTCAAATTAATTTATATATATTTGATTAATTTTGAAATTAATAATTATATAAACCTCAAATAACTTTAAAAAAACTCAAATTTATAACCATTAAAAAGTAAACCAGAGTTGCCCAATTAAGCTATCATTCCAAATTTTTCATGTCGTATTTTTAGGTCGAAGAGAGCGGCCAGTCGTCCAGCCAGATGGCCATCAATATGGTTCCAAACACGTCCTATTCGAGTTCGTCAGATACACTTTTTTTTTTTTGTGGGATAAATAATATCTTTTATATATGTCTTCCAAAAGATGAATATAATAATCTTTTTCCCCGTAGTTTATATATGTCCTCCGAAAACATATTGTAGCAGAGGGATCCTTTCCATCCAAGCTCGGATGATGGAGCTGCCAACAAATTTTGGCACAGATGCATCCTTTGAAACATGTAACTTTAGGATATTTTCTTTCAATTTATGGTGTTAATTTCAAGAAATTCTATCTGTTTAAAGACAATTATGGTAGTAAAGTACAAGGAAATCAATCAAGTAAATCTTTTTGATAATTTATATATTTAATAGGCAAAAAAGGAAAGAAAAAGTAATGTTTCATAACAAATATTATAGTAAAATTCATAATCTTAAAAAATCGAATTAAAATGAAATGTAAATATTATATGTAACCCTATTCATTGTAAAACTTGTAGATCACTCCTAAGCCTTGGAGAAACTACAGGGGCTAAAATGCAAGTTTTCAAAACACACATGACTAAAGTTTAATTCGTTTGAACTCTCATGAACTAAAGTTGAGATTTTTTTTTTTTTTTGAAAAAAGGATTAAAGTGTGGTTTGGAGAAAATCTTTAAAGATTTATTCATATTAGTTTATTAAAAAGAACAAAACTTTGAGCAAAACATTATATAAATGATAAGATTCTCACCATTGTTTTTAGGGAAGGTAGGGGAGGGGGACCATGCCATTCCTCATATTTCTTTAGTGCAAGAGGGCCATTATCCATGCCGGGATGATGATAACAAAATAAAAACTCAGCTCAAATAATGGGTAATAAAAAAAGTAAATTAAATAAGGAAAAATATTCACAAAATGCCACGTCATCAATCCAAGTCATGTCCTTGTGGCACGCTCTCATCCATTAGATCATCATCGAAAAAACAATCCTAGCCATACATCGATTTTCTCTCCAAAAATAAAAAATAAAAAGTTAAAAACCCTTGTTGCATATCCTTTTTCAACAGAATAGATCAAGAAACAGTGATTCCTTGCAAGATTTTGAAACAAAGCAGTTGTTGTTGTTAGAGCTTCTTTTGTGGGACTCACTCAGTTCACTTCGGTGAAGAGTTTGGACATTAAAGTTTCAAACTTTCTCTCTCTTATTTTGTTGGAAATTTAATGGCAGCTGAGGAGATTAATAAGCCCCCATCACTCCCTCCTTACCCTGAGGTACTTAACTTGAACAGCTATTTTCCTTTCCTCTGCAAGAGAAAAGAAAGAAAAAAGAAGGAAAAGTTACTGTCTTTTATTGTTGTAGTTGATCTTTAGTTCTTCATATTTCATTGCTTAGCTTTACATCACTGAGTTTTTTTTTTTTTAGAATTTGTTGGGGTTGGTGCTTGAAATGGAAAAGATGATCTCTGGGGAAGATGTTGCTTGAAAGGGAAAAGATGGGCTCCGGGGAAGATGTTAAAGACTCGTTTTTTTATTTGATTTAGTTTTGTTAATTGAGATTGAGTTTGATTTTTTTCAAAGCTTGGTTTTTATATTTTTGCTGCTATTTCTGCTTGAATTTTCGTATTGAAGGGGAAAAAATGGAATTTTATGGGGGATTCAATTTTCTTTAAATCATTCTTCACATTTTGCTATGCAAAAAGATTTTTTCTTTCACTGATTTGGTTTATGCTTGTTAAAAATCAAAGCTTAAATTGGGTTCCCCCCTTTTAGGCTTGGTTTGGTTTTTGTTGACTCAGTTTATGCTACTTATGCTTAATTTTGGGTTATTGAAATAGAGAGCTGGACTTGTTTTGAAAAAAAAAAAAAAAATTTCCATCAAGAAACCTATTTTCTTGAAGTCCTCTGTTGTAATTTTTTTTTTAAATGACTGCATTTCGCATGTTTTTATTCAGAAACTCTGACAGTAGCTTTTCCTCTTGTTAAAAAACTGTTTCAGTTTGGTGTTCCTGAGATGAGTTTTAACAGCCACTGGGGCATCCTGGTTGAATCTGCAGCAGATATGTGCTTGGTTATTTATTAAGAAAATTGGGAACTTTGGACAAATTTAAGATAAATCCATGTTCATGCAATCCTCATCTTGCATTTTCCTTTCCAGAGTTGAGATTTAATGCATTTGAATTTCTTAAATTCGATACCTTCATTTTTCAAAGAAAATAGAGAAAGGAATGTTCCGAGTCCTTGTTTTACATTTTTTTCTTCATTGATTGTATTTCTCTAAAAAAAAGCTTTCCAATTTCATCATATCGGTAGCATTTATACTTTTATACCGTTGTTTTTGCAAGGAATTTCTTTTTGTAATCTTGACTGATCTTTCCTGCTGTTATCAGATGATTTTGTCAGCCATTGAAGCATTGAATGAGGCCAATGGCTGTAACAAGACGTCAATATCGAAATACATCGAATCAAAATATGGGGACTTGCCAGCTGGCCACACTGCACTCCTCTCACACCACCTCAATCGAATGAAGGATACCGGAGAGTTAGTGTTTTGGAAAAACAATTACATGAAGCCAGATCCCAATGCTCCTCCTAGGCGTGGTCGTGGTAGGCCCCCCAAGCCGAAAGACCCATTGCCACCGGGCTCAGACCTGCCCCCTGCCAGACCGAGGGGTCGTCCACCAAAGGATCCCAATGCACCCCCAAAGCCAGTGAAGCCAAAGACTGCGACTGGAAGTGGCAAGCCAAGAGGGAGGCCACGCAAGATGGCACGGCCTACAGGAGGAATAACCACTGGAACTGCTACAACAACCTCAGCAGTTCCAATGACGGCTGGTAGTGGAAGGCCAAGGGGTCGGCCTCCAAAGGTGAAGGCTGCAACTATGACTGAAGTGAGTGTTCAGAATTAATAATCTCCTCCCATTAGTGGTATTAGCAGTCGACGGACTGTTGTCTCAACATGTCTGTAGAATTGGTCAGTTGTGTGTGTTAGTTGTTAACAGTGGTCTGTGTTATTAGTATGGCAACATCGTGTGTATTTTTGTGCATGCAACTGTGTCGTGTCTTCTTGTATAATTGGATGATTGTATTTGTTATAATTGAGCCTTCTTGCTTTCTTGTAGTTTTCGTAGAGAAAGATGTTTATACTTTGCATGTTTTTCTTGCACGGTAATTTGATAGTGGGTTAATAATTATTTTTTAAATTGTATTTTATTTAAAAATATATCAAAATAATATTTTTTTTATTTTTAATATAAAAAAATTAATTTCAATGAAAAACAAAATTTAAATTTTCATGTTCCAGACGAAGCCTGATGTTACACTTGATTGAGAAAATGAGAAAAGGCATTACTCAGTCTTCTGAAATTTGGTGCCCGGATGCACTTTCATTGTAGCTATATTTTCTCTGTTTTGAAATAGTCGAATGATGTACAAAATTATGTCAGCATAGACTGACTGTGACTCCGACAATGTACTGAAATTTCAAACCGTGGACACCATGGTGTGACATCAATAACTGTTCGTGCAAGAAAGGAGCATGTTTCTATGGTATGCGATATTTCTCCTAGAGCTGTGGAAACCGGGTGTTCTTGAACTTGGTCTTACGAGACGGTTTGATATTCCTAACACCCTGAAGGATTTATTGTTAAAACTCATAACATGGACAGGGCGGTTTGATCTTTCCTCCAACCGAGTATTCTGGACTAAACAAGGAACTGTGGAGAAGAGGCAGCTTTAATGGATTCTGACAAGAGGAGATAAACGTTGTCTCCTGGAATGGCTGTGACCTCTAGGTGATTTCTTTCGACAAGACTTGTCAGTACAAACCAAGTGGCCTCTGTTTCATGGTTTCTAATCTCTTGGTCTGTTTGTTTGTCTTTGTTTGGTGAGCATTTTGTCGCACTCCTCCATTAACGATATCTGACAGGCGACTTCATGTGGGCCAGTGATCACACAGACTAGTGAGAGAAGGGAGTGGGGTGGGGGATAGCACTGACCAGTGATAAATCTTGAGCTTGGGGACAGCGGTTTCAATTCATGTGGAGATCTGATATGGGTTTGTTAGGTTTTGGCACGTCCGATGGAACTGAGAAATTCGATCCTATTTTCAAGTCTTTGATCTATCCAGTGAGCAATGGCTTTTCTTTGTTACAAGGAAGGGGCTGGTCCTGGCTCATTGGCCATAGGACCAGTACTTGGTTGCTTATGAAACGCACGCTTACTTTACTGCAGCCAAATTTCAAAAACATTTGGAGCCAATCAGAGTTGGACCACGACCTAATTTATGTCTCTTGTTGCTCGGTCAAAGTGCTCTTATAGCTTGTTTGTTTGTGAGATGACGAGTGTATTTTTATGAACGATATGTAGATTTTAAATAAATACATTTTAAGTCTAAAATGATAATGTATTTCTAAATAAAAATATACTTTGAAAATCAAACTTTATCATACTTTTTATTTCCAATCAAGCAAAGCAGCCAAGACCTATATGTTGCCTGCATTACGCGGTGAGGGCTACATATGAAATTCTATATCCTACATTATAATTATGATCATGGTTTTGTGTATAATTGGTAGATCCAATTTAAGGATTAGATTCATAAAAGAATTTAGATTATTGAGTAAATTCATAGGTTACTAGAATTCTTATTAAATTACTTGTTGACTTGACTGGTTTGAATCAAGTTTAATTGAATTAAAAAAATTATTAAATTAATATTTGATTTAATTTAATTAAAAATTCATTACTTTCTTATCTAAATCTACAAATCTACAAAGCAAATCAGTATTAACGAGTATGATTTTGTGAGAGATGACAGGAATTGACTCATGAAAAAAAATACACAAAAAACAAGATGGAGAAGAAGAAGAAGATAATGCTATCCCTTGGTGTCTTTGTCGAAAGTATCAGGCTACTGTATGTGGGACTGAGGCAGCAAGGACGGCAACAACCAGAAATGCTTTCAGGTGTGAAGTAGACATCTTATTCATTCATGATTTATCTTTGCCACATTAGATTGACATTTACTCTTCCGCTCCCTAAAACCTTCCATGGCCGCCACCTCCCTCTCCTCGGGGAAAAGACTTTTTTTCCAAGGTCAACCACTTGTACTAATTTCCACCGCCAACAAAGTCAAACCCTTTCCAATTCACATCTATTCAGAAAAATAGATGGATCTGGCCTTATCTTGAAGCATGATAAGATTACTCCGACCTTTTGCCAGTCAATTTTGGCTACTGCTCAAGTGATCAGTAATAAGTCAATTTTGGCCACTGCTTTTAAGTGATTATTAATATTTCACACAAGTTTTAGAAAAAAGAAAAGAAAAGAAAGGAGGTTCCTTTTCAAAACACGAGCCATGACAAGAGGGGATGGATGCCCATGTCTTTGTCAAGAAATAGTAGGGAGAATTGGTCAGCTATAGAAAGTGATGGTGTAAGAGGGTCTTGATAATACATTGAACGAGACCCCAGCAAGAAGCTTCAACTTGAAATAGAAAAAAGGAAAAATGGTCATTGAGTATGTATCAGTCTTACTAGGGTGTATGAAGTCTGAAATTGTAAAAATTATTTATTGAAGTATTTTTTTGTTTTGAAATGCATTTAAATATTTTTTTATATTAAAAAATATTAATTTGAAGGTAAAAACAATATCCAACAATATTAGGAAAAAAACAACACTTGTTTTGATAACGAAAACCTAGCTTGAATTCTTTACTGGTTGTGAAAAAATGGATGCCAGATAATTCATTCAATTAGGTGTCCAACTCGTGTAGTTTCGGTCCGCTTAACGTGATTGTTTCAATCTAAATTAATCATTTCGTGAGTGAAAATATTGTTGTTGTGATGATTAGCAGATGGTCAAGTTTAAGGACTTGACTCGTGAGTATCAATGTTCTCACCATCCATGATGCCACTCCCTAGAAAAGAGCAAATCAATTTTAAACCCTCTAAAAATCAGAAACCGAAGCATTCTCGTGTCCAAACCTGCCCCTCGCAGGGATGAGTTCTCGACAACAAAACCACTGACAGCATTCAGAATTCGGAACATGACACTTATTTGACTCAAAAGGCCATATATGAGATGAAATGATCTTCTTCAGAGTAGCTATTGCAAACGTGAAAAGGGCTATATAAGAGAAAAAAGGAGGAGAATCCAAGAAAGCAAGCATAAATTAGATTATACATCATAGCACACAGAATTTGCAAAGCCATAGCAGATAGAGCATCAAGAAACATGGAGAATTCACTCTAAGCAACTTCATCTCCTTTTAACTAAACCCAAATTCCCTACCAAAGGCACATCAACTGGAGTTGTTTCTTTGGCCAGCTCTCCAAATCCCATGACGTTAGCCTGGATCATATCATTTATCCTTCTGTAGCCGTCCAATGAAGCATCACATCTCTCTTGATCCCCTTCTCCTAGTTTCAAGACGTTGCTCATCGAGCTTGATGATTGTGATTGAACATTGAAGTCTATCAAATCCTTCAACTGATCAGCATACACCTGCGACTTCCCTACCTTTTGACTACTTACATCAGAATCCATCAAGGATAAAACATCCTTGTTTAAAACCTTAGAACCTACAGTGTTGATCCTAAACATGAGTGAAAGATGAGACAGGCTCAGGCAAAAGAGCCTCTCTGAAAGCACGTAAAGCCTAGAACTAGCAATTGCGTTTCTGACGTCGAAGCAACTCCTCGGTATTAGACTCGCCAGATTGATTAGGCAATGCTTCCATGTCTTGGTGAAATGAAGGGGTCTGACGCCTTCCTGTCTACAAAATTGGGTTAGCAACAGTGTCCAAGGTGATTGATCTTGTGGAAGACAATACGAATATTATTAACACTTACATGGGGTATAACATAAGGACGAATTGCAAACCCCGTGGCTAAGCCAAACAAACATGAAAGCACCAGTCCAAGGACCCAAAATTTAACTGCTCCAAGTGCTGTAAATTTAAAAACACAAAGCCTCGCTTTAAGTTCATGATAAATTGGGCCTACCATTTCCATTTAGTTCTAACAGAACCCAAAGTAAAAGATTTTACAATGTTTCAGATTCTCACCAGATTGAGAACCTGTTATACAATCCTCTTGCTTAAGGCCAACCTGGCGAAGCAGTTGATTGCCATGATCTGAAATTAGTAAACCGCATAATTGAGGAACAAAAAGCACCTCAAAATCACTGGAGAATGTTGCAGTGTTCCCTGGACCATCCTGCCGACCTGTCTGGGAGTAATTACCAGCAATGGTGGTGGTCATGGCTAAAAAAACAGAAAAAGAAAATAAGCACCTATAAATTACTTTTCTTCCAATGTACAAGCACATAGAATCCAAAATTTGATGTAAATATTTGCAATTAAAAGCACCTGAGCTGCTTATCTTTCTCACAGCATGGTTTAGTTGATCAGCTACATAAACATTCCCTCTAAGATCAACAGTGAAACTCTTTGGTTTATTGAACCGAGCCAAGCCTGGTTCTCCATCTATGTACCCTTTATCCCCACTTCCAGATAACCGTTTTACCATTACACCATCTGCAATTTTGATAATATAAATAATCAAGTCAATGAATCAGGTGCTATCACGAACAACCTTCTCTGAATCCACTGATTTGCTAAGAAAGCGCTCCATTCAACTATAAAGTTTAATTCTTGAATTTAGAAAACGAAGGCATTAGTCAACAAGTTCAATTCAGACTCTTATTTCCAGTAAAAAACAAATCCAACCTCAAGAGGTCAGAATTTCACATGAATAAGAATAATAATTAACATTCAAACTTTAACCTTTGCAAAGATGGACACTACCATAAAAAAGGTTGCACACTTGCATCCACTTCCCAATTTACAACTTTTATCCTTGGCATTCATCACTATAAGCCCGGAAAAAAATGATAAAAGGGAAACCATGCTTCAATACAAAGGAACAAAAGAGAAAAAAACACAAAGATGATGACGCTATATAACACAAATGTTTTTACATGAAACAACACGAACAAAAACAATAGCAGAAGTTATAATTACTTTCACTCAATTTTTTGACATTTTTAGTTTCTAACTGCCCATTCCAAACCAATCTCTCCCCTTGCACGAGCTTGTGGCACCAATCATAACACAAAATTGTGTCCACCATTGATATGATGAGGCCCACAAACCCAGTTCAAATCAATTTTTTTAGCACAACCCAATTCAACATCTTTGTTTCCAAACAAGCTACAAACTTTTAAAAAATAAAAATAAAAATAAAAAATCCACACTTAGGAGTCAACATTTATGAAAAGTAATGAACTTTACTACTAGCTCCAAATGAAATTTATTACCCTGAGAAATGGGAAATGGTAGAGTGTAAAAAACACTCTTAGAAGAATCAAGGACTACAAGATCAGATGATCTGAGTTGAACTGCGTGTGGGTTTACATTTAATTTGCGGCCATCCATCACTGTAGTTACCATGTACCCATCTTCTAACATGATCTGCTCCCCTGTCATTGAAAAATGGTCCACTGTATCACAACTTTCTTAAAAAAACAAAATAAATGCTAGAACCCATGTGGTAAAAAATGAAAATTTACCATGAATTGAAGCTAAGTTGAAGAGGAAGAAGACGAGCAGAAACAATTGAGAAGCCATGGTGAGATTTTGATGGTCGTTTTGGTGAAATCGCGGAGAGTGCTTACAAGTTAAGCATTGAAGTGGTGTTGGTTCTTTATGGTGTTTCAACCTAGTACAAAGATAAAGTGGCGTACGATGAGAATAAAATGTTCAAAATATTCGGTGAGCGCAGCAGAGAGTTAGCTCGCAATATGTCGCGAGATCATTTTTTATATTTATTTTTATATAATTTTATGATGATTAAAATAAAAATATTTAAGAATTTTAACCCTTTAAGTTCTAGGAAAAAATATCTTTTAAGTCAAAATCTACTTTCTTATATATATATATATATATATATATTTCTTTTCATTCATAAAAACATATTTTTTATTAGTAAAAAAACCTAAGATAATTAAAATAATTTTCATAAGAATTCCAATGATTTAATCATAATATTCTTTCTTTATTCATGTATTTAATTTTTTATTTTGATGAAAAACATGTTCTTTTTATTAGGAATATGATTTTTCAAACTAAAACTCATTATGATATAGAATAAGTTTCGATAAAAAAATCATGTCTTGATAATTTATCCACTATTATATATACATATATAATAATTAATTTGAGAAAATTATATAAAGAATTGACAAAAAATAAAATAGATATTTAATTTTTATTGAAAACATATAAGCATTTTTTAAAATAATATATTAGATTAGATATAATAATTCATAAAATAGTTGTTGATATTAAAATAAAAGACTTTAATTTAATTTAAAAATAATGGCATAACTAATGGTTTTTTAAATATCACTATAACAATTTTACTGAAAAACAAAAACATTCTAAAATATATTTGTTTTAAAAAAAAAACAATACAGTGGACCAAAAGAATCAAACTCAAACGTACATGGATGCTTAGGCTTGCAAGGCCAGCCCTACTAGGCCTAGACCACCAAGCAATGTCTTGGATCAATATATCTCCAATTAATATGATAAAAATAGTGAAATAATTATTTTACTTTTTCCAAATAAAATTAATATTTAACTTATAATTAGGGGTAAAATAGTTTTTTCAAAAAAATATATTTATCATTATCATATTAAGTGGAGACATATCGATCCTTCCACATTTTAAATATATAATAAAATAATTTAAATACTCTTAAAAATAAAAACAAAAACTGTGGCTCAAGGGCTTCTCCATCTTTCAATGCTTTTACTGCATAATAAAATAATTCTACACTACCTCTAAAAGAGAAAAAAATAATAATTACGTTCAGCCTTTTTTTAAGAGGCATGCCTTCATTTAATGCATATAAGTTCTGTCTTCGTTTGTAACAAGAGTAAAATCAGGTTTGACTTAGAGAATGGTGCGCTCATGATAATAGTTGGATTCAGGTGCATCTTAGTGTAATCGAAGTTAATTTCAAACTTGATTCCTAATACAAGACAAATAAATGTTAACTATTTGGATTAGATTTACGATATATAGTGGTGGATAATCGAATATGAGGAATCTAGATAATTGCCTGAATTAATGAAGGAAAATCCAACGCAAATTCTTTGGCCAATGGAGTCTGGGGGGTGGATGGATTCTTATCATAAAAAAGAAAAACTCGGAACTTTTTAGACAAACTCAATGACATGATTTAGAAATTTGACCAAATTATAGCATGGCGCCATTGTTAGATTCACTGTAGAATTCTTATTTTCGAAAGAATCATAGATGACATAGGGAACCGACGTATGATGCAAGTATATAGAGAGAGAGATTCCTGACCTAAGCCGCCATTATTTGCTCCGATACTCTCCTCAGAATTCAGTGGTTTTGCCTGTTCTACAGCTTGGAAAAATTCCTGAGGCGGTAACCAGGCAAGATTTACTTGTTGAATAAGATGGAAGACAGCCTATACGATGCTTCCATCGACCTCATGAATGAACAGCCAGTGTGGTAGGCTACACAATCTTCTCGTTGGCCTCCTGTACAGCGATTATGGTATGTATATATTCTCTTTTCTTTTCTTTTTCTGATGCATGAGATCAAATTTATTATCAACAAGATGAATGAAGCTTATAGTTGTTACAATGTTAGTATATAGTGATGATCATGGTGGGGGGATGGCTGTGGCTAATGTTTTCGTTGTGGCAGGGCTGCTTAGAGTGATACCTATGGTGATATATTTGAATATGAATTAGGGCCAATCTTTTCGTATGGTTAGTTCTACCCATACGTACCATATCCTATCCTCCATCATCATCTTCTTCCTGCAGATAAGGAAACTGATGTTTTTGTTTTCTTTTTTAACGGGCAATTGGTTCTCTATCCCCACTGAAAAGGAGGTGATAATGACAGCATATCTCTTCGCTTGGCAATGGTAGAAAGAGATTATACGCCTCTAGGCTGTGATGTCAACGTTAAGGCTAGCTTTTTCCTGTATGATCAAATCCGAGATAGATATTTGGTCATTGAAGGTACCTTGAAATCATTCAGCCATGTTTCACCGTTCTCCAAGCATGTTTTCTTCTTTCTTTTGCTTTATTAATTAGCATCACAAAAACATATTAAGTTGGCCACAGATTCTCTTGTTGAAAGGCGTTATCATAACATGATGAGCGAGTGGAGTTTCACTGACATAATATCACATTATGAACTGAAAGAAATTTCCAATGGATACCTTGTCAGTGACTGCATCATACTTGGAGTGGAGGTTTTTGTTCTCAACAATACATATAAAGGGGAGAGTCTTTCGTTCGTCAAAGAACCTGAAAACAGTCTGTTTACATGGAAGATCGACAATTTTTCATTATATAATACCGAATATGTCTCTGATGTTTTTGATGTTAAAGGAAATAAATGGTACGTACGTTTATTATTATTAATTTTTTTCATAGTTATATATCCTTTTTCTTTGATTAAATTCTTGACTAGCTATTTTTTTAACAATTTTTTTTTAAATTTAGGAAATTAAGACTCAATTCCAAGGAGGAGGGTTCAAACAAAGAAGAGAACCTATTTCTTTATTTAAGCTTGGATGATTCAAAGACAACAGTCAATTATGCAGAGTTTACACTCAGAATAATGGATCAAATCAAAGACAACCATATTGAGAAGAAAGGTTAGTAAATCAGCTCCCTCATTCATTTTAGAAGCAGAAAAATTATTCTTTCTGCTGGGAAATGACTAGAAATTATCTCTTTTGTAGGTGATGGATGGTTTGAAGATGCAAGTGATTGGATGAAAAGTCCTGAGTCTTTGTCACTGCGTGGTCTCAAGAACAGATCAAATGATTATCTTGTGGACAATAAGCTAATCATTCAAGCAAAAATCAGCTGCATGTGTGTGGTTAAAACCTTTTAAAGGAACAAGTACTCTATCTTTAGATTATGTTTATTAATTCTGAAGTATTTTAATTAGCTTTTTTACATTTTATGCCAAATTCTTTGGTTTATTTGTTATGGATGCATAAACGGCTATTAATTTACATTTTATTATTATTATTATTATTATTTTCATTTAATTGCTTCAATGGTTTGTGTTATGGGATAAGAACTTCTCCATGATTCTTGTGAAGTCGTTTGTAGTACTTTGTCCCTCCTCCTGTTGTGGAGATTAATTGTTCTCCTACTTTTGCAATATCTAACAAACAACTGCAGAATTTAATTTTAATTGATATACTAGTTGATTGATATATTTTAATGTATTTTTTTTAAATTATTAGGTGTTTTGAATCAAAAATAAAATAATTTTATTTTTTCTAGTCACCATACTAGCCAAAATATAAAAAATTATAAACAATGCCATTATTTTTTATCAAAAAAAATAAAACGAACAACATATTAACTGTCTCCATGAACTTAAAATAAAGGCTTGTTCTCGGCTTTTTCTTAGTGGATCAATCACTTGGCTTATTTTACTAAGTCTATAACACCTGATCTCATTCTTTTTAATTCTTTTAATTAATAACCTTTTTTATGTTTATTCAAATAATCTTTAAATTTATTTTTTAATTAATACCTCATATTTTGTTTTTTTGCTTATTTTATATTTAATCTTTATTTTTTTTTGCTATTTATTTTCTTTATAGTCATTTTTTATTGGAACTTTTTTTTTAAATTTTTATCCCTTAATATCTTATTTATTGGGATTTTCTTAACCTTTTGGGTCATATATTTGAACATTAAATCAGGTTTGCATATATTTTTTTTTATAATTGATATTTTTATTCTATCTTTATATAAGATTATTCTAATTTTAAATGTCACATTAAAGGTTAAATGACTTGACACAACTTTACTAGGTTAATATTATTTTTTTATCATATTATAAAATTAATTAAAATTTAACTCAACACTCAAGTTTTTTTTTTAATTTCTTAAAAACACTTACGTGATCTTAATACTTTTTTTTAACATTTGTTGACTAAAGTTTGAGGATAGCAAATGTAATTTCTCTCTTTTCCTAGTAAATGATAAACAATAGAATAGACTACTACACTAAAGGACAGAAACCCAATTCAGCTCTAGGATACAAAAATATGGCCACAAAAAGTCATTATCTCTGCCTTGCCTTTGCTCACTCTTTCTCTCTTCTTCAAAATCTGAACTGGATAACGTTTTAGCAACACTAAGAAGAGAAGCGAATAAACTTGCCAGTTTCCATCAGTTTCTAGTCTCATCTCAGTTTAGCCAGCTCTTTAGCCTTGTCAGCCGAGCCCTAGCCTTTGGATGCATAAACCAACAGATGGTCTTATAGAAGCTGAAAGGATCAAGGATGACATTAAGACCATTAGTCTCAGTACAAAATGTAACCCACAATCCCCCAATATTCACTTGCTGCATAAAACCAGCCTTTCAGTCCAAGGGTCATATGCCCCTCAAGGTCCTGAGGTCTAATATAAGTAGAAGAATAGGAGCAATAGCAGCAGTGGCAACAATTGTATTGGTAAAGGAAGCAATGTTTAGTCAAGATAATGCAAATGGACTAGAATTCAGGTTTGCAACTCCTGATCGAAGATCAGTTGAAGAAGCTGAGAGTGGAGTCAGAGACTACGCACAATCTTTGTTGCAACTGAAAGATCTGTTAGGGTCACAATCTTGGAAAGAAGCACAGAAAGTGCTTAGAAGGCGCTCTTCAAACTTGAAGTTGGATCTTTATACTGTAATCGAAAGCAAACCTGGAAAGGACAGGACTCAACTGAGGACCCTGTATTCCAATCTCTTTAACAATGTAACCAAAGTAAGTACTTTTAACGCCCTTTTTTTTCATGTATGGAGGATCTTTTCTAGAATGATTTTTGTGGCGCTGTTATTAGATTTTCATGAACTTAATGGTGATAATTGGTTTATTCAGTTGGACGCCTTGAACATTTGTTACCAGCACTTTCTTAGCTAATTTGTTACTCATGACTTTCTTCTTATACTCCTTTGTTATTAGAAACAATACTGTTCCTGGAGCTGACAATGTTGAATTTAATGGAAATTTTGCAGCTAGACTATGCAGTAAGGGAGAAAGATGTTTCACTTGTGTGGCAATGCTACGAAAATATTGTTGCGGCCTTTGATCATATCTTGTCTAGGATATGATCTCCAAATGCTGCTTGCCCTACCTCCCTGTTGATCGAAGAAGCTGAGATCAAACCTTATGACCGGAACTCGGTGTATGATGTCGTGGCCCTTTTACCTTTTACATTGATAAGAACTTCAGCCATTTTTCAGTGCATGGTTTCATTAGCTGGTTTGCAACTATCATTTAACCAAAAAAAATAGATTCAGATTACTGCCATAGACACAACTAAAACATCAGCAGCCTGGAAGATCTGAGAACGTCCACTCGTCTAGATTTCTGTAAGTTTATTGAATTTTTATTCGCCCCACATACAAGCGCTTTAAAAAGAAGCAATGGTATTCTAGGGTGGTTTATTTTACAAGATCTTTCCAAAACCTTTTCAAATTTAAAGCAAAACTATGCCCTATCTGATAAAAATTCAAGAAGTGGTGATTATACAAAATTTGAACGCTTCCAGAACATCACTTGCAGAAACTCTGGAAGGAAATTGCCTCTATTGGCTGTATGGAAAATCCACCAATTTGTCTTTCCCAGGAAACCATGTTTGTTCCAAGAATGATGAGATTAAGGTCCGCTGGTCATCCCAATATTTCTGATATTTTGTTGAAGACATCCATAACCTGCATGGAGAAGAAAACATCCCACGTTCTCCAGTTCAGATATTTCAGAGAGCTATTGAATTGATGCAACTTAACACCTATAAGACCGAGGTGTTTCTTTGAGTAACAAATGAATATGCACTGTGAAAGAATGGGAGAACACAGCTAAAGTATGTTTGGAGTTGTGGTTGACTTGGTTATAAAAAGGGAAGGAAGTTATCAATCAAACGTAAGGAAAACCATTTTACAGGAGAATGTTGTTTGCAGTTATTTTGGAAAACCATCTGAGGTCTTCAAGTAAATTAACCTTGAAATAATTCACGCCGATGAGGTACTTGTTGGACACAAATACACAACACATAATAATAGGCCAAAAGGCAATGTAGTCCTCCAGGTAGAAAGTTGACATTTCAAAAGACCAAAACTAGTAGATTAATAATGTAATTACAACGACAAACAATTTTCTATAATTGATGAAGCATGTCTGCAATAAGAAGAGAAAGGTTATACCTCCTTGTCATTCTGATATTTGGCAATGCTTAGTGGGTTCTGTGAACACTGCAAAATGGCCAAAATATTACAAAGATGGTTAGATTTCATAAAATTAATTATAAGTCAGTTGCAATATACCTCCATAATGGCTTGTTGAACTCTAGGATTTTGAAATGCCAGGGCAACATCAGGATTGGCCATGATTTTTGAGATGACTTCTTCAGGTGTAAGGCCAATCTGATCTGCAAAACACAAATGAACAGAAAACCACACAATAAGAAAACAGAAAGTGATTTTCATATTATCTGTATCAAATGTAAAATTAGAATCTGAAAACAAAAGTTGAACAAGTTCCAAGTACATCCAACATAAATCATGCAGCAGTTTTGGGTAAGCTGAATCCTGAACATAGGTGGATTTATAAACCTTCGCATCTTAACCATTGATTAACTAACAATAGGCACTCTCAGAAATCATAACCCGGATATTTTACCAGAGCACAAAAACTTCATGCTAATAGAGCCAAAACTCTTGTTAATCATGAAATGTTCTTTCATCATTATTAATTTATTCCTAATCCATACATTTCATTATGCAATCAATTCAGTATGGCACCTCTGTTAAATGCAAATTTGGAGATAATCTGTCGTGTCCACTGAAATGAACAATCAAGTTCAGGACAATACTAGTAATGCATGTCAAGCTCGAGTAGGGAAGGAGAAGATA